AGATTTTGAACAGAACTGGTCCTAGAACCAATCCTTGGGGCACGCCGCTAAAAACCGACTGTCAAGCTGACATCGAGCCATTGATCACTACCTGCTGGGACCAACCTTCTTGCCAGCTTTCTATCTATCTTACAGTCCATTTATCCAATCCATATCCGCTTAACTTGCTGGCAAGAATATTGTGGGAGACCGTATCAAAAGCTTTGCTAAAGTTAAAGTATATCACATCCACTGACTTTCCCATGTCCACAGAGCCAATTACCTCATCATAGAAGCTAATAAGATTAGTCAGGCATGACTTGCCCTTCATGAATCCATGCTGACTATCACTTTCCCCTCTTCCAAGTGCCTCAAAATGGATTCCTTGAGGATCCTTTCCATGATTTTTCCAGGGACTGAGGTAAGACTGACAGATCTATAGTTCCCTGGATTGTCCTTCTTCCCTTTTTTTTTATATTAACTTCTGCCCCACTAGAAAAAGAAGCAGAGTGGGTCAGCTTGCACCCCACTATTTTGTGAGTGTGCAAGAGATTGGGGAAGACTGCAAGGAGGACTACTGCCTTCCTGGTTTATGCAGGACACGATCAAAACTACAACACTGGCATTCCCAGAATGCAAGATGTCTCAAAGAGCAGAGGGGACAGGGCACACTGCACCTTCTACAAGGAGTTCTCTCCAGAGCTACTCCTCTGTTAATACAATGAGGAGTCCTGTGTCACCTTAAAAATTAACTGATTTATTTGGGCATAAGCCTTCATGAGTAAGACCCACTTCATCAGATGCTTATGAAGCAATGCATCTGATGAAGCGGGTTTGTACCCAAGGAAGCTTATGCCCAAATAAATCTGTATAGTCTTTAGGGGTACGTCTACACTGTGGACTAAAGTCGAATTGAGCTACACAGCTTCACCTACAGCTTCACCAGCAGGCCTCAGCTGGAGTACTGTGTCCAGTTCTGGGCGCCACATTTCAAGAAAGATGTGGAGAAATTGGAAAGGGTACAGAGAAGAGCGACAAGAATGATTAAAGGTTTAGAGAACATGACCTATGAAGCCAGGCTTCATGAAGTGGGCTTGTTTAGTTTGGAAAAAAGAAGATTAAGGGGGGACATGATAGCGGTTTTCAAATATCTAAAAGGGTGTCACAAGGAGGAAGGAGAAAATTTGTTCCTCTTGGTTTCTGAGGACAGGACAAGGAGTAATGGGCTTAAAGTGCAGCAGGGGAGGTTTAGATTGGACATTAGGAAAAAATTCCTAACTGTCAGGGTGGTCAAATATTGGAATAAATTGCTAAGGGAGGTGGTGGAATCTCCCTCTCTGGAGATATTTAAAAACAGGTTAGATAGACATCTGTCAGGGATGGTGTAGACGGAGCTTGGTCCTGCCTTGAGGGCGGGGGGCTGCACTCGATGACCTCTCGAGGTCCCTTCCAGTCCCATTATTCTATGATTCTATGATTAATTGAATAGCTGAAATCATATTAGCTTAACTCAGCTTTAGGTGCTCTCTACAGTGCAGGAAGTTGAAGGAAGAACACTTCCTCTGACTTCTCTTACTCCTTGTGAAATGAGGGTTACAGAATTTGGAATAAAAAGCCTGTCCTTTCCAAGTTATTTGAACATAATGGGCTTGCTGTGTAGAAGTGCACTTGCTCAGTGCGGGGCGCGAGTGCCCCGTCACACCGCCCGGCGCCTCCCGGCGCGCTCTCAGTGCGGGGCGCGAGTGCCCCGTCACACCGCCCGGCGCCTCCCGGCGCGCTCTCAGTGCGGGGCGCGAGTGCCCCGTCACACCGCCCGGCGCCTCCCGGCGCGCTCTCAGTGCGGGGCGCGAGTGCCCCGTCACACCGCCCGGCGCCTCCCGGCGCGCTCTCAGTGCGGGGCGCGAGTGCCCCGTCACACCGCCCGGCGCCTCCCGGCGCGCTCTCAGTGCGGGGCGCGAGTGCCCCGTCACACCGCCCGGCGCCTCCCGGCGCGCTCTCAGTGCGGGGCGCGAGTGCCCCGTCACACCGCCCGGCGCCTCCCGGCGCGCTCTCAGTGCGGGGCGCGAGTGCCCCGTCACACCGCCCGGCGCCTCCCGGCGCGCTCTCAGTGCGGGGCGCGAGTGCCCCGTCACACCGCCCGGCGCCTCCCGGCGCGCTCTCAGTGCGGGGCGCGAGTGCCCCGTCACACCGCCCGGCGCCTCCCGGCGCGCTCTCAGTGCGGGGCGCGAGTGCCCCGTCACACCGCCCGGCGCCTCCCGGCGCGCTCTCAGTGCGGGGCGCGAGTGCCCCGTCACACCGCCCGGCGCCTCCCGGCGCGCTCTCAGTGCGGGGCGCGAGTGCCCCGTCACACCGCCCGGCGCCTCCCGGCGCGCTCTCAGTGCGGGGCGCGAGTGCCCCGTCACACCGCCCGGCGCCTCCCGGCGCGCTCTCAGTGCGGGGCGCGAGTGCCCCGTCACACCGCCCGGCGCCTCCCGGCGCGCTCTCAGTGCGGGGCGCGAGTGCCCCGTCACAGTGCCACAGGACTCCTCTCTGTTTATGCAGCTACAGACTAACACGGCTGCCCCACTGAGAGCTGTCCTATTATAATGTCATTCTGCACAGCTCCCAAAGACAGCACTGTGTCCTAAAGGGATATAGACCCAAACCCATTTGTCCTAGTCACGGCATTCCATTGATGATTGACCAGCTTTAAGGTAAACGTATTTAACTAATAGGGAACAATGAATGAGTAAAGAGAGGACTGTTGCTGCTGAGATCCCGTAATCCCTGGTTCCCCATCACTGTGAGAGAGGCAGCAGGAAGTATCCTGCAGGATGCCTGGCACTTTCTAACTTCCTCCTGAAACTTTTGTCTTGAGAGCACGGCCCCAGTGATGGCCAACCTCTTGGCTGACACCGCAGAGTTTGAACCAGCAACCTCTGGAGCTAAAAGCATGATCTCAAGCTAAAATTCTGTACCTAAGGACTAGAACAACTCATATGCCAATCCACAAAGGAGACATATAGCAGACACTCATCATTGAATTACACCCCTCTGCAAACATGTCATAACTTTTCTGAGCTTTTTAGTCTGTGAATATGCAAAGTGAAGCTAACTCTACCTACACCTTCCCTATCTCTGTTGTGGATACCTGGAATCGTGGAATTATATTTGCTGATTTCCCCTAAATTAAATGCCATTGTTGTCATTTTACAGATCAGGAAACTAGACCCAGAACTCTCTGCCACTGACTCTACGGATTTAATTCTCCACTGCATTGCAGCTGATGCAGTTATTTACATCTGCACAAAGTGAGGGCAATACACCGCAACAGAAGAACACTGAGACCTTGTATTTACACCTGTACAAAAGTGTTACTGGGTATTCCATAGGGCTTTATGAAAACACTTGTATAAATATGACTATGACATAACTGGACTATGCTTTATTTGAAAGGTGGTATCATTGGAAAGCTTGTAATCTACTGAATAGGATTATCCCATTTGTGTGCACGTATCATTCCTGCATTTGGGGTTAGAAATATGGAGTATAAACTTGTGTTATTGAAGTAGTTATGCTAAGGAAATGCCACTAAGAGTACTCGAGGGTTTTTATTATTCATTGGTAAGAAAACAATGACTTGTAAATGGACTTGTTTTTCCTGTAAGCAAGGGAGAAAGGGCTATTGTGTATCCTTCCAAAAGGTGGCCATATCACCTAACACTGGGCCCCACCTTGGACGCTGTACTTTTCCACTGAAAATGAGAAAAAATTTAAACTGAACACAAAGGATTCTCGCCTTTGTCAAAATCTCTATAAATGTAGGAAGCCAAATAATAGGGGCAGCTGCCAGATGTCAAGACACTCCGGAGTAGCACCCAGAATGGCTGCTGGAAACATCTAAGACTGAAGAGAGGAGAGGATTAAGCCCAGACTAGGAAGCTGTCCAGTCTGAGAAAGAAGCTTATCAGAATAACCAAAGGTGGGATTGTCCATGTAACCTGTTTCTTAGTTGTAATAGTTAGTGGTGTGGTCTGTTTTATTTTATTTAGTAACTCACATTGTTCTGTCTGCTGTCTCTTATGACCATTTAAATCCTATCAATAAAATCACTTTTGTTTATTAATAAGCCCTGTATAAAGTAATTTTTACTGAGAGGAGAGACAAGGAGTCTGCAAATCTCTCTTTACCCTGAGAAAGAGGGCAAACATGAGCTTGCTATGTAACAAACTTTATACGGAGCAGGATGGATTTATCTGGGGTTCAGCTCCCATTGAAGCTGTGCATCTGGGTGCTGAAGTGAGTCCTTTAACTGAGCCTTCTCAGAGTTGATCTGATCTCAGTGTCGCTATTACACTGCAGTGGGCTGTGACTCCCATCTCCGTGTCATTGATGGAGGAGGTTGGAGGTCCTGGTTCAGCATGAGGGGAACCTGGGGGGGCAGGTAGGTTGGCTCAGTGGGATTTCAGCACCTCAAGTGACAGTCTCTGTGACTGAGCCCATGACACAAAGCACAGACAAAATCCCATCATTCTGCTCTGATAGCATGTGTCACTTGCATTGTGCAGATATAAATAAGTTGCAAGACCATGGAGAATAGAGATAAAGTGAAATAAAACCTACGAATCTGTCATGCTGAGCTCTACCATTTTTGTTTTTGTTTGTTTTGTTTTCAAATATCACCCCTGTGACCAACCAGCTGTGCTCTGTGTTGTTTGTTCAAATCGCCCTAGGCTCTACTGGTCTCCAAAAATTATCACCCTGCATTCCTATGTCCCAGTCCTGTACCTCTGCACCTCTGAGAGCTCTCACCATCTTGTTGGGCTGGGACAGAATACACCTGCATCCCAACCAGTTACTGGGGATGTTGTGATTACTGGGACAACGGTGGCATTTTCATGGTGACTGGCCACAAAATGGTGATATTGCTTGGAGCCAGACACCAGCTGAGTTCTTTTGCACAATGCCTTTAAATTACATGTAAAAACCCAAGATGATTTTATCTATCTAAGAGGCTGGTTTTATTAGACAACTTTACTTACAGGAATCTGAGGGCGTGGAGTAAACAAGGTTGTCTGGAAAGAAAAATCAAAAAATTAAATAAAGTTAGTACAAACACATTCACAAAAGTCGTCCTTCAAAGTGATTTTCCTAAAAGGTCAATCATCCCTCTCTCTTAGCTGGCAGGTCCTTTCATCTAATCTAGCGATCTTCAGAAAGAAAGGATCCCAAACATGCCTGAACGCTGTTGGGGTATTTGAAATATGAATCCCGAGTTTTCAAACGAGCCCTATGGTAATAATGAAGGCAACCAAAATCCCAGATTCAAACAGTTTTGGAATCTGGATCTAACTTTTACTCTTGATCCCATCTCTAGCATAATTAAAATTCCCCCTTTGGACCAAATTCAGGGCCAGTATAAGTAAGGGCACCTTCCTCTGAAACTGACAGGTGCTTTCCTATTTCCAGGAGGGGTGCGGGAAGCGGACAAGTTTCAATTTGGTGATTCGTCGGGTCCTATGTTGAACTCAAACTAATTCCATTTGTTTCACAATGGGTCCCTGGACTCTGCAGGTCTCCTAGGCCACAAGCACAATATGGTTTATCAACTGGAGCTTCTCTCATAAAGGACTGGAGGGTAGATGGGCACTGGATTGGGATTCCCCTGAGCCAAAGGAATGCCTTAAATCTATATTGGTAATGCAGTGCAACCCAGTCTAGGATTCCACCTGCTATTTCTATGGGCATGGTAAAACTCAAGTGGCATGCTCTCTGCAAGATCTGCTCAGTTTTCCATTGAACCATGTTGAAAATAAACTAGTTTCTTTGGGAAACCACCAGGAAATCCTGGACTGAAACACCTTGCTTGGTTTAAAAGAATCCTGTATGATCCATGCAATAAACCTGCAACTTGTAAACTCTTTCTCCACCTCTGAGTAGGCACAAACACACACTCTTGCCCCAGCTCGTACATCTATTATACATGCCACTGATAGGAAGAGATGCAGAAACTCTGTGAAACTGATGCTATTGTATGAGGGAGCAATGCATCAGAGAGATACGAACACACCAACCTCTTAAGAATTATTGGACCAATTGCATCCATGGTCTAGCTCCAGTGAAGCTAACGGAGTTATACAAGTGTGAAATAAATAGTTCCTGGTAAAGGAATGAGAAACCTGGGAGAACTGAGTTTAGGAGGTTTGTGCAGAAAATGAAACTGCCACCTATTTGTCTGTACACCATCTCTGCATTAGCGCATGGGATGGATGCAGTATTACTTACTGTTCCGGGTAAACCTGGGGGACCAGCAGGGCCCACGTCGCCCTAAAGAAGCAAGGGTGAGGAGGCATATGTAAGGAATAGGATGGCAACAAACTAAAACACAACACAACTACGATTCTGCAACATTGCAGCTGCAAGATGTGGCTGTACCAGATGAGACCTACACAAAGGAGGTCCTGTCAGCTTAGAATGGATACTATAGATCCCAGGACTCTTTTGCTGACAGATGGATTTTACCCCAATGTCCTTGGCCAAAATTTTCTCTCTCGTTGTTGTGCAGTTTAACACATGAAAAATGTCAGTTGGCTTCCCCTTTTATCCCAGGGGACTGGGGGTGTCCATGCACTATTTTGGGGGCTGAAGGGGTGAGAGGCTGGGCTCTGGGAGTGAGTTTGGGTGCTGAGTGCAGGCTCTAGGATAGGGAAGGGAGTGGGGGGGGGAGGCATGAGGGAGAGTGGGGGGGGACAAGGAGCAGGAGAAGGGATGTGGTGCTTACCTGGTACCTGGGTAGCAGCTCTTAGGCATGGGACAAGGGGTTTCTGTGTGCTGCTGCCCACCGGCACCTCCCCCACAGCTCCTACTGGCCACAGGGAAGCTCAGGGTAGGGCCAGCGCATGGAGACCTCCCTAAGGGGCCACAAAAATGTGCTGGCAGCCACACAGAGAGTGAGCAGGCAAGAAGCAGTTCTAGCTCCATGCTGCTGGTGGTTGTGGAGGGGGGCTCTGCCGGGCCCTTTAAAATGACCCAGAAGCGGGCAGGGCCACAGGATGCTGTGAGACAGGCGCGTGGGGCAGAAGGCAGAGCCGGGGGGAGACCCAGCCCTGAAATTTGCTGTAGCTAGGCTACTGTGCCAGGAATATTCTTAAAGTCCAGGCACCATGGGTCCATACACTTCACCTTCCCTGCTGGGGGGGAAGGTTGCATTATGTGTGAAGGAAAGCATAGAATCAAATGAAATAAAAATCTTAAATGAACCAAACTGCTCCATAGTATCTCTATGAATCATAACTCCATGCTCTAATAGTAAGATTACAGCAGCAGGGATATATTACTGACCACCTGACCTGGATGGTGATAGTGACTGTGAAATGCTCAGGGAGATTAGAGAGGTTATAAAAATAAAACCTCAATAATAATGCGGGATTTTGACTATCCCCATGATGACTAGATACATGTCATTTCAGGACAGGATGCAGAAATAAAGTTTCTTGATATCTGAAAATGACTGCTTCGAGGAGCAGCTGGTTCTAGAACTCACAAAGGGAGGCACAATTCTTGATTTAGTCCCAAGGGAACACAGGATCTGGTCCAAGAGGTGAATATAGCTGGACCACTTAGGAATAGTGACCATATATAATTAAATTTAACATCCTGGAGGCAAGAAAATCACCACAGCAGTCCAACACTGTAGCATTTAATTTCAGAAAAGGGAACTACCCACAAAAAACGAGGTTAGTTAAAAAGAAATTAAAAAGTACAGTGCCCTAAGTGAAATCTCTGAAAGTCGCACAGAGATTTTCTAAAGACACCTTAACAGAGGCTCAACTTAAAGGCTACATCTACATTGGCCCCTTTTCCGGAAAGGGCATGGTAATTTTTGAAATCGCAATAGGGAAATGCGCGGGGGATTTAAATATCCCCCGCGGCATTTAAATAAAAATGTCCGCCGCTTTTTTCCGGCTTTTAGAAAAGCCGGAAAAGAGCGTCTACACTGGCCCCGATCCTCTGGAAAAAAAGCCCTTTTCCGGAGGATCTTATTCCTACCTTGAAGTCAAAGGAATAAAAATGTCCGCCGCTTTTTTCCGGCTTTTAGAAAAGCTGGAAAAGAGCATCTACACTGGCCCCGATCCTCCAGAAAAAAGCCCTTTTCCGGAGGATCTCTTATTCCTACCTTATTCCTCCAGAAAAGGGCTTTTTTCCAACTTTGAAGTAGGGAATAAGATCCTCCGGAAAAGGGCTTTTTTTCCGGAGGATCGGGGCCAGTGTAGATGCTCTTTTCCGGCTTTTCTAAAAGCCGGAAAAAAGCGGCGGACATTTTTATTTAAATGCCGCGGGGGATATTTAAATCCCCCGCGCATTTCCCTATTGCGATTTCAAAAATTACCATGCCCCTTCCGGAAAAGGGGCCAATGTAGACGAGCCCAAATGGTATACCCCAAAATAACAAAACATAAAAAGAGAACAAAAAAGTGCCACCGTGGCTAAGCAATAATGTAAAAGAGGCAGTGAGAGGCAAAAAAGCGTCATTTAAAAAGTGTGACGTTAAATACAAGTGAGGAAAACAGAAAGGAGCATACATTCTGGCAAGTGATGTGTAAAAATACAATTAGGAAAGGCCAAAAAAGAATTTGAAGAAGAGCTAGCCAAAGACTCAAAAAGCAATAGCAACTTTTTAAGTACATCAGAAGCAGGAGGCCTGTTAAACAACCACTGGGGGTCACTGGATCATTGAGATGCAAAAGGAGCATTCAAGCATGATAAGACCATTGCAGAGAAACTAAAATAATTATTTGATCAGGCTTCACCACTGAGGATATGAGGGATAGTCCCAAACCTGAGCCAGGCTTCTTAGGTCACAGATCTGAGGAACTATCCCAAATGGAGGCGTCATTAGAAGAGACTTTGGAACAAATTGATAAATTAAACAGTAATAACTCACCAAGACCAGATGGCATTCACACAAGAGTTCTAAAGGAACTCAAATGTGAAACTGTGGAACTATCATCTGTGGTTTGTAACCTATCCTTTAACTCATCTTCTATACCATAACGTGATGCCAAGTTTTAAAAAAGGCTCCGGAGATTATCCTGGCAATCACAGGCCAGTGAATCTGACTCAGTACCAGGAAAACTGACTGAAACTAGAGTAAAGACCAGAATTGTCACACACATAGATGAACATAATTTGTTATGGAAGAGTCAGCATGGTTTCTGTAAAAGGAAATCATGTCTCACCAATCTATTAGAATTCCTTGGGGTGGGTGTGGGGGGTCAAGAAGCATGTGGACAAATGAGATATAATGTATTTAGAGTTCCAGAAAACCTCACCAAAGGCTCTTAAGCAACGTAAACTGGCATGGGATAAGAGGGAAGGTCCTCTCATGGATTGGTAACTGGTTAGAATATAGGAAACAAAGGGTAGGACTAAATGGTCAGTTTTCAGAATGGAGACAGGTAAATAGTGGTATCCCTCAGGGGCCTGTTCTGGGACCAATCCTATTCAACATAATTATAAATCATGTGGGAAAAGGGGTAAGCAGTGAAGTAGAAAACTGTGCAGATGATTAGGCCCAGCTCTAGGGCAAGGCGAGCAAGACAAATACCTTGGGTCCCGCACTGCTGAGTATTCACCATCTTCCGGCCGGCCCAGGGGCCCCGCTTCCCCCGCCCTGCCTTGGGCCCTGCAAACCCTTTGGCCAGGCCTACAGATGATGCCATACTACTCAAGCTAGTTAAGTCTCAGGCAGACTGCAAAGTATTATTAAAAGATTTCTCAAAACCAGGTGACTGGGCAACAAAAAAGCAGATGAAATCTAATGCTGATAAATGCAAAGAAATTCACACTGGAAAACATAATCCCAGGTATACATATAACCAGGGCTTGCCGAACCGATCATTCTGCGCATGCGCGGTCTGGCATCCTTGGGACCTGACCAATACCAAACCATAGAATTTGCTGATCACAGGAGGTTAATATTGTCTAGCAGCATTACTAGCACTTCCACTGCTTACTGGGCTCTTAGAAGACATTTAGGGGTAAATTATACACTGAGAGCCAGGACTGGTGGCTGTAAACAAACTTTATAGAACTGCTGGAAACTTGGCCACATCCATGATAAGTGGACATCTGGCAAACTAAAATCATGCTAGACCACGGATGTTGTTAGATCAGAGAATGCTGCAGTACAGGTTCAACCTGTATCATCGTCCTTTGATTCATTTGTAAAATTCTTATTTAACATGAATATGTGGAGAAAGTGAATAAGGAAAAATTATTTACTTGTTCCCATAACATAAGAACTAGGGGTCACCAAATGGAATTAATAGGTAGCAGGTTTAAAACAAACAAAAAAAGGAAGTATTTCTTCACACATATTGTACAGTTAACCTGTGGAACTCCTTGCCAGAGGATGTTGTGAAGACCAGGACTTTAACATGATTCAAAAAAGAGCTAGATAAGTATTAATGGATCTAACCTCCATGAATTTATCAGTTAGGACAGGTAGGAATGGTGTCCCTAGCCTCTCTTTGCCAGAAGCTGGTAATAGGTGACAGGGGAGGGATCCCTTGATTATTACTTGTTCTGTTCACTCCCTCTGAGGGTATGTCTACACTACCCCCCTAGTTCGAACTAGGGGGGTAGTGTAGACATACCCATGATGACTAAATTAGCTGTTACCACTCAAGAGACAGATCTTGGAGTCATTGTGGATAGCTCTCTGAAAACATCCACTCACTGTGCAGCAGCAGTCAAAAAAGCAAAGAAAATGTTGGGAATCATTAAGAAATAGATAGATTATAAAACAGAAAATATATTGACTCTGTATAAATCCATGGTATGCTCACATCTTCACTGCTGCATGCAGATGTGGTTGTCTCATCTCAGAAAAAAATACTGGAATTATAAAAAGTTCAGAAAAGGGCAACAAAAATGATTTGGGGCATGGAATGGCTTCTGTATGAGAAAAGATTAATAAGACTGGAACTTCTCAGGTTAGAAATGAGGTGACTAAGAGGGATATGACAGAGATCTCTAAAACATAACTGGTGTAGAGAAAGTAAATAAGGAAGTGCTATTTACTCCTCATAACACAAGAACTTGGGGTCACAAAATGAAACTAATAGGCAGCAAGTATAAACAAACGAAAGGAAGTATTTCTTCACACAACGCTCAGTGAGCCTGTGAAACTCCTTGCCAGAGGATGTTGGGTGCATTTAGATTACAAGTTTTTTTTCAGAAAAATGTCCGTTTTTCTGAAAAAACTTCACCTGTGTCCACAGTGAAATCACATTCTTTTGAAAGAAAATCGAAAGAATGGAGGGGGTTTTCCGACACTGGTAAACCTCATTCTATGAGCAAGAACTCCTTTTCTGAAAGAGCTCTTTCAGAAAAAGGCATGTGTGGACGCAGAAGAGGGTGGTTTTTTTTTTTTAAAGAAAAGGAAAAAAAGCACAGGTGCTATGGTGGCTATTCTGCCCAGAGTAATCACAGCTTACATGCAAGAGAATGTCCAATGAGCGTGCAAGCATGTGCAAGCTTCTTTCGAAAAAGAAGATCACTTTTTATGTGCTTTTGAAGTGTGAACACTTTTGAAAGAAGCTTGCAGTCTAGATGTACCCGTTGTGAAGGCCAACATTAAAAAAAAACTAGATAAATTCATAGAAGATAGGTCCTTTGATGACGATTAGCCAGGACGAGCAGGGATGCTATCCCTAGTCTGTTTACCAAACGCTGGGAATGGGCAACAAGGGATGGATCATTTGATGATTACCTGTTCTGTTTATTCCCTCAAGGGTAGCTGGCATTGGCCACTGTCAGAAGACAGGATACGGGGCTTAATGAACCATTGGCAATACCTGTTATAGTCGATCTTATGTTCTTATGTTTTCTTAATAGATGTCTGTCCAGGCTACTTTTGAGGGCTGGGGGCTGGACTCGATGACCTCTCGAGGTCCCTTCCAGTCCTATTATTCTATGATTCTATGATTTCCATTGTTCCACTGACACTGTAGCTTGCCTATTTCTGCTGTACTATGCTTTACCCTCAATCCTTTGTTCTTCTTTCTTTTTGGTATAAGTGTCTGCTGCTTTCTGTGACTCACCTTTTCACCTCTTTCACCTTTGAATCCAGGGAGTCCATCTCTTCCTTTTTCACCCTAGGAACGGACAAAACACTCTGATTTTACTGGAAACACCCATACCTACTGCACCATGACCACAATGCCATGGTACTTTATACTGTTGTTTGATCTTATGGAGTTGGTTTAACTGCAGCACTAGCAGTTAAACCAACGAGTAACATCTTGAGATTAGTTCACAAAAAGAAACAAGCACTATTTTCCATAGCTAACAGTTTGCACGTCCATTTATGGAAAAGAGATTGAGAACCCTAATTCAATTTGCAAATAAAAATGATGTTACTTGAAACTCTTGAAGAAAACATAATTTAACATTATTTTTCTGTTGGGAACAGAAGAGGCAGTAGCATGATCAACCACGCTGAGGCTACACATTTGGCCCTGTGTAGACGGGCCAAATGTGGGGAAAAACCTCTTCTGAAAAAAAATTGGAAAAAAGTACACAAATTAAAGTTCGCAATTTGCGTACCTTTTTCTGAAAAAGAACTGCAGGGTAAACATAGTCTGAGTGACACTGTGACAGGGTGGACTAGGCCCAGAGGCCCCCTGATGAAGGGCCTGTGATCCTGCCACATCCTGCCCCCAAAAGGCCATATAAAAGTCCTCCAGGAGTCAAGAGTGGCTGTGGAGGAACCAGCCAATCAAGAGCCAGGAAGGCCTACAAAAGGAACTGCAAAGCACTGTAGCAGTTAGTTGCAGGGCAGAGCTCAAAGAAAGAAGACAGAGGGTGACTGGCTGGCTGAGGGAAAAGCAGTTGCTTTTCCGGAAAAAGTGGCCAGTCTAGCCAGCCTGGCTTATTTTAAGAGGAATAAGGGATCTTTTGGAAAAGGCTTTATTTTCTGAAAGATCCCCGTCTAGACTGGCGCTTTTTTCTGGCAAAGCTCCGAGCCGGAAAAAAGCGGCAGCCATGTTTATGCAAATGAAGCGGGGGGAATTTAAATCCCCGCTTCATTTGCAATTGCGATGTGTCTAATTTGCATCCCTTTTACGGAAAAAGGATGCAGTCTAGACACAGCCAATATGAATGGCAATGCATATGCATATGGGCTCCAACACCCAGTGAAGCCAATGCCAGGATGCCCATTGATTTCATTGGAGATTGGCTCAAGCTCTATATACATAACCACCTGTAAACACTATGGGCTAGATTTTTAAAGCACCAAAGTGACAGAAACCCAAATCCCATTGAATTTTTCAGTGGGACTTATGTTCCTAAATCACTTAGATGCTTTTGAAAATCCTGATGCATTTTCTCTTTATAGTGCATTGCTGCTACTTCCTCACAACCATTATGAAATCAGCCATGACCTGTGTCAATCCTGAACATATATTGACCGATTGGCCCCTAACTTGTGAGCTCACTGGCTATCTGTGTGTTAATGGAGGGGAGCCGATGTGCTTTCCAGGGGCTGTTCAGCTCTTCACCACAAAGATCACACCCAGCGAGAGGAACTGACAATGGCCCCAGTCAAACTAAGCAACGCCTCAAAGTCACTCACCAGATCTCCCTTCTCTCCCTTCTTCCCAAGTAACCCTGGAGGACCAGGAAGGCCTGTTTCACCCTGTAAGAGAGCAAGAACATGTGCAGTCTGCCCAGGAAACTTCGCTGCCTGGATTGTTGTTGAACTTTGGGGAATAATGAAATAATCAGAGAGGAAATTGTGCTAGAAATATGCTGGATCTCCTTATACTAGGAAGCAGGATTTGTGCTGTGACAACTGGTGTATGGGATTGTCCTTCCATCCCATAGCTTTCTCCCCCGCAGAGTAAGAAGAGGTACATATGTAAGGGACCCCCCAGGCCAGATGTCTAGTCCCTTTTTCCCACCCCAATAAATTGTGGATTGTCCCTGATAGTCAGTGCTCAGGCATGGCTCAGTCTAGATTTCAGTGACCTGCACTAGGTTCCCATGTCCTCCAGTGGCAGACTGTTCCACTGCTTCATCAACCACAATCTCACTTCAATTAGAGTAATGGGGGAAAAATCCCATTCACTTCAATGAGAGTTGGGCCAGGCCTACAGAAGCCATCCTACCCCATACCCATGTGTCGCACCAAATAATTGCCCCTCCTTAGTGTTTCCAGCGATCGGTGCCTGCAGCCAGTTATCACATTCCCCTTGGTTGGCCCTGAGCTGAGTTCTTTTAATCTTTCCTTTGGCCCGTGATGCTTTGCACTTCTAGATACAGTCACCCAAGGTGGTGGGAGGGCAGCTGCTGGGTACCCACCCCACTGCCCCAAGATTTCTGACAGTACTAAGTTCCATCCAGGATTCCCTGAATCAGCACATCCTCTGGCCAGCCGGATTCTGTCCTTTCTACATCTGGGGCTCAGCTGGGCTGCTCCAAGCCCCCTGCCTTGCAGCACACTTCCCACCACTAAGAGTTGCTGCAGCCAGAGTCCTACCCTGTCCCTCTCCTCAGGCTCCCTGGTTCTGGCTGCTGCTCTTGCTAAGGGCACACTGGGATGCAGAAAGATCCAGCTGCAGGGGAATATGATGAAAGTCTGGAGGATCTGCCTCTGGCTCCCTTTGAAGCCAGCGCCCTGTGTCCACAGTGTGGCCCTACCGTCTGCTACCAGTGCCAGTCCGTGAGTCTGCTGCTAGGGTCAAATCAATCTCATTTTATCTAATTACTGACGGAAGGATGTATTCCCATCTCTGGTTCCTTCACAATGCTCTGGCCGGTGGCCTTGTTTTGCTCAGTTTTGCCTGCTCACCTTCTCACCAGCTAGACCGTGATCTCCTGCATCGCCCTGGGAAGACAAAAACACAGCTTTGGTATTACAGGGAAGTAGAATCATATGATCCTAGGGCTGGAAGAGACCTCAGGAGGTCATCGGGTCCAGCCCCCTGCCCAGCAGGAAAAATATAGCCTCTTATAATCACTATGCTACATTCCCTGTCACATACACAAAATAGATATGTCACAGGCGTTCCTCCCTCCCTCTCTGGCCCAGATCTAGAAATGGGCCCAGCTACATGGGTTAAGTTCCAAAACCACAGGGAGCAGCCAGGATCCAATATGCTGAAGCAAACCTACCAAAATGTCACATGTGAGCATCAGGCCTTGAGTTCTACTTTGGTTCCATCTCTATTTCCAATGGTACATTGTGACGAAATCATCAGTGTGCAGGAGAGAAGGACGTGCTTCTCCTTTCCCTTACAGTGGTGTTACACAAATGCAAGCCTACCAATCACAGCAGAGCTACTCCTGAGCACCGTGGCATCAACACAATCAGAATCCATCTCTGGCTGATTCGATTCATGCTTACAGAGAGCTCCAGGACTTGGACTTCCTTACCTTGGGACCAGCTTGCCCAGGAAAACCGTCCTGTCCCCTCTCTCCTTGTTCTCCCTGTAAAGAACACAAATGGAGATTCAAAGAACAATTCTCCAGAGGTGCAGTAAACGTGAAGACAAGGGCTTCGGGTGGATCTCCAGGGACTCCATGGGTGTGTATGCATGCTTTGTTTGTTTCCCGAGATGCTGTCCCTGCTCTTGAAAAATGTGTGCACACAATCCCAAAGCTGACTCGATTTCACTCTGGAATAACATGGAGCCAAGTTCCTTCTCTGAACAGCCTCAATCCATTGTGTAAGAACAGCTCATCATCAAAAGTTCACTCCTTATTTCCATTCTGAATTTGTGTAGCTTCAACTTCCAGCAAATGGATTGTGTTGTGCCTTCTCTGCTAACTGAAGAGCACGTTATTAAATAGCTGTTCCTGTACTTGTAGACAGTGACTAATCCCTTAACCTTCTCTTCGTTAAGCTAAATAGATGAAGCTCCTTGAATCTATCACTGCAAGGCAGGTTTTCTAATCCTTTGATGCAGGCCAGCAGCTTCAGGCAGAAGAGATGTAGCACCTGCCACCAGCATTCCAAATCTGCTCTAAGGCTTCAACATTCATACTGCCACCACCTAACACGAGTGGAGAAGATAGTTGCTTAAAGCCTTACAGAGAGCCCTTTTCCTTAATGTAACCATCAATACTTACTGACGCTTCCCCTTCTAAGTCAAGACACGTGCTAATTCTCCACCTGGATAGCCAAGTAGGGAAGAGTGCGTGGCTTTGACATCTATCATTTTGAACAGAATTTATTGTATTGTGTTCCTGTTGCACTTAGCCCCTCTGAGAGGGTACAATATCTGGGGCAGGGCTTGGAAAGGAAGGGTGCGTTCTCTTTCCAGTAGCTGGGACAGGCGAAAGAAAAACCTGGGGTAACCGCGGCCCATATTTTTGGTTGTTACTCATGAGCTTTAGGTGTTTGAATAATAAATTGTGCCCTGTGAAAAGAGCTGTGGCATCTGGCAGGATTGTAACTATACCTAACAAAGTGCTGCATCAGCCTCACAAGGGCTGGCTATACCAAATTCAATACAATAACTTCAGCTCATTTGCCCTGAAGCTGTGCCCAATGGCTCCATGAAGTGGAATGGACAAACATTTAGCATGGAGGAGTCAAACATGCTGTCTGCAGAGCAAGGTCAGGAGGTAACTAGTGTAAAAATTGACATAGCCCGTGCCACTTGCCTTTTGGCCCAGAAGCCCAGGAAGACCATTTAATCCATCCTTGCCAGGCAATCCCTAAACAAGAGAAAATTATCAGCTGCAGGAGTTCACTTATGTTCAGACCATTGTAAACCTGGACACAGTTAGCGCCCAGCCGCTATGAGATACAGGAACATATGACCTCACTGTGCTCTCGTTTATGCTGGTTTTAAGGACAGCAGAATCAGCCCCATTGATTCTTTGCTGAGTTTTCACATTTCTGTTCTATTTTCCATCTGGATCACAGGGAAACATCATGTAATAAACATGTTCCCTAGACGAATAATGCAGCTCCTATCCAATAAACCAGTCTTGGTAAATGGCCACTGGATGTCACTATTGCTACAAAGAAAGAACAGCAAACACTTTACAGACTATAAATAGACTAATTCTTAAATAAGTTTAGAGGTGGTATCTTTACTCAGCGGTTTCTACTCTCTTCTGCTTCCAAAAATAAAATAGTCTGTGTCTTTCTTTGAGCATCAGCAATTTATTAAATGTATACTCTATTGCATCTGTGTGGAAGTATCAGTTAGCGGGATCATCATGAAAAAGATTTCTCTAATGTACTGGTAATATAGGAAAGAATCTAGTCTTAAATCTTGCCACTATAAGAACCTTACAGTTTGTGGGGCTACCTAATTGATCCTAATTGATCTGCCTTGACATTAAACACACCATGGAAATTAATTTGCTGTTCTAAAATAGAGCTTTTGCTTCAATTCAGATGCTAATTTAGGAAGTTTCTAGCTTTTTAAGGAAATGAATTTTGCAATAATTTGAAGGCAGTAATAAAATATTATAATAATAATAATAATTTAAAAAAAATTATTGCCTGAATGCAATCTCTCATCCCTAGAGGTTTTTAAGTCCCGGCTTGACAAAGCCCTGGCTGGGATGATGTAGTATGGGTTGTCTTGTTTTGGGCAGGGGGTTGGACTTGGTGACCTCCTGAGGCAGGGGTGGCCAACCCACTTAACAAAGAGAGCCAAAACAGCGGTGGAAAAAATACGAAGAGCCGCACTAGAATTGTCAAGCAAAAATTATTTTAAAAAAAGGACGCTGCTCCTTTAGGAAACAAGCTTAGGCTTTTTGGCCATATCAGGCTCCCATCAACAGCCGCCATCTTGGGTGCCATTTTGAATTGCCGCCTTGGTGAGCACAGGGGAGCTGGAGGCCAGGGGAGGGACTGGGGGCGGAAGGGTAGCCAGGGGCCATTGGAGGAGGGGCACATGAGCCGCACTTTTGGGAGAGAAGAGCCGCATGCGACTCACGAGCCATGGGTTGGCCACCCCTGTCCTGAGGTCTCTTCCAACCTTATGATTCTATTATACTTGTACTAAAATCCCAAAGCATATGTAAGACAGATTCTTGAATTAGCCAGCAGAAGGGTTTGAATCCATGATTTCTCTTGCTGAATGCATAAGTCTCTAGTGCATGAAAAGGAATTGTCCAAGTGGTTACCTGTAGAAGACTCATTAACTGTTTTTGTGGACAAGCTACCATAAAGAGGGTAGAAGTCAGGCCTTGTCTACACTAAAGGGAAGATCGCTGCTGCCATGGTCAATCTTCTGGAGTTTGATTAAGCAAGTCTAGTTAAGACTAACTAAATCAAACTCAGAGAGTGCTCTGGCCAGCATCCAGTACTCCTGCTTTTGTGAGAAGCAAGAGAAGCTGATCAGAGCATTTGCTGCCACTGGCTTCCCACTGTGGAGATGCCACCAAGCTCAGTTTAAGGTAAGTCGACTCCAGCTAGGTATTCTATGTAGCTGGAGTTGCTTACCTTAAGCCAAGCTAGTGTAGACCTGGCCTTAAATATGCACAATCAGAGATGATGGAAATGAAAACAGCAGTTCTAAACTTACCGCTGGTCCTGGTGGTCCAGTTTTACCAGAAACACCAATTTCTCCAGGTAATCCCTAGAAATGAAACCACAACAGGGAGCTATGTTCAGCATTTAGGCCTTTGCAACACAATGACATTTACACACTTTCTGATATTGCAGCTTACTGACTTCTGCTCAAATAGATAAGCACAATGTGCTCACTTACAAAGGCCAGCTTCTACCTTAGGAGCTGGGAATAGTTGTAACAGTTAGTTTACTTCTGAGGGAATTCTGTGCCAAAAAATGAAAATTCTGTGTACAATATTTTAAAAATCTGCATATTTGTCAAAGTAACACAATATAATCACACCATTTTTAATTATTTGCTGGCAAATATTTTGAAATAAATTTACCAAAATAATTGAAAATATTACAATTATGTTGTTACTGTGTTATTTTGACAAATACCATTATGCAGATCTTTACTACAGAATTTTAAATGTTAAATATTTTTTACCCAGAATGTTTAATTTTTGGTGCAGAACGCCCTGAAGAGTATTAGGTTTCTATGCGGCACAATCTGGGGGTTGGGGGAGAAATCTGGATACAAAAAGGCTTTTCGAGGGTTCTAAGTGCAGGGGAAATGGCACTCTGCAGAGGAGATCAGGTAAATGTGGCTAGGGATTAGCAGGGGGCTGCTGGGGAAGTGGGGCTTTATGGGGTTGGGATCAGGGTACATGTGGTTAGGGCTCAGAGAGGTGGGGATCCTGATATGAGGGTCTCCCAATGCAAAACATGCAGCTTGCTGGGGTGGAGTTCAGGGGGCTTGGGTGCAGGGGGCTCCCACTGGGGGTGGAGGGGCAAGATGGGGGTTTCCAGGTGCAAGAGGGTCTGAGACTCAGGGAAAGGTGCAGGGTAGTCCAGATGCATGGGGGCTGGACAGATAGTGGGAGCAGCTCCCTATGCAGTGACCCCTGGGGAACAGGAGGTAATATATGGGGAGCTGCACCCACTGTCTCCTCAACCCCTGTGCCTCTGCACTCTCCTACACCCAATCCCCGATTGCTAAGCTTCACCCCCCAACCTCCAGACTCTTACCCCCTATCAAGCCCTTTCCACGATGGGAAGCTTTCTGCAGCCAGGGAAGGTTTCTGAGGGTTGATCTGATCAAGCCCTGACTGCTCCATGCAGGAGAGAAAGAGGGTGAACTCTGTCTCCACAGTCCCTCTTCCCTTACCACCAATCCAGCTGGGAGTGACAGCTCTGGTGGGCTATGGCATCCCCAGTCCCTTCCTCCCATCCTGACTTACAGCTCCTCTGGGTGCCTGAATACAGGCACCCACACTGCTGGGAAGGGGTGGGAGAGCCCTGATGCTCCTGCTCTTTGTTCCCCTCAGAAGCCATTTTTCTGCAAGGAAGGGGAAGCAAGGAGACTCTGTGGGGGACGCACTTCTGCACATGTGCAGTGGCACAGAATTCCCCCAGGAGTATGTGAAGAGGCACCATCACATGAAGTCAACCAATGGCTCCCAACAAGGAGATGCGAACATGAATGTGTCCTAGCTAAAGGCCTGATCTCATTGAAGTTAATGGCAAAGCTCCCATTGATGGGAATAGTCCTGCAACTTAGTTACTTCAAAATGTTATTTCTATCCCCTTGGAAACAATCAAACAAATCTTAAGCAAGTTCCCTTACTGGAGCACCTGGAGGTCCGGGAGGGCCAGCGACACCAGGAGACCCGGCAAGACCCTGCAAAAAAAGAAAAAAAAATGTTTTATCCAACCCACTGACATTCCATCTTGAGTGTGAAAGGAGGAATCTTCAACTAGGCACAGGACGTTCTGCTCCCAAATGCCGATTTTAACCACACACAATAGTGGCCTTTATTTCATTAATCTCCATTTAAAAAAAAAAGAGGACACAGGCCAGAAGTGAGCTGCTGCGGGGGGATGGGGAGGGACGGGAAGGGGGCTGTCCTCACAAGTAGAACAGAATGACCAGCTTTGCACAGGCAGCTTCTTAAATCACTAACGACCCTACCTGCAAGATGAACTCCAGATCTGGTCCTGATGCAAGAAACAAGTGAATCTCAGGCAACCGCTACTCACTCACAAGGCAGAACCTGTCCAGGGACACATTCTAGCCAGAGCAAACTTAATGTAATCCTGATAGATGTTGTTTCACAGAGAAGCCGAGAAGGAAATGATTTATCTCCAAGACTGGCTTTTGGGAGTAAATACGAATGAGACACGGTAGGTTGTTTTGTTTTTTTAAATATGACTGGAGTAAATACGAATGAGACACGGTAGGTTTTTTTTTTTTTTAAATGTGACAGTGCCCAAATTCCTTCAAATGACTGGACCTGATGCCATTGAGCCAATACTTTACAAAAGAAAACTCCACACCTATAGCTCTGCCATTTGAGTCATAGTCAACACAAACATGGTGCAGAAAGTGGCCTCAATGTGTTATACCAGAGGGAGATGTAAATACTCCAGCTGTTCATCTGGGCCCACACGAGACTGCCTGCAGTACTGCAGCAAGCTGGTCCAGTCTGGTTTTAAGCGACTCAGGCAATAGGAATGACACCGCTTCCCTTGGGAAAACATTTCCTACTCCTGTGAACTCACGATAGCCATGAGATTTACTCGTGAACTTTAAGGCCTGAAGGCAATGGCATAATCATGTAGTCTGGCCACCTGCACATTGCAGGGTGCAGTGCCTCTGCTACCCACTCCTGGAGTAGGCCCCAAGCCTTTGGCTGAGGTGCTGAAGTCCTCAAATTTTGAGGTAAAGTCTTTCAGAGATTGCACTCTTTAATCCAAACCAGCAAGTGAACTGCGCCCCATGCTGCAGATGAAGGCAAAACTGGCCAGGGTCTCTGCGAATCTCACTGAAAACACCTTCCTGACCTCAAACACGGTGCTCAGCTAGACTGCCTTTGGAGATATTTGCTCATAATAATCCCAGAGAGGCTATGTGCCATTGTAAGCACCCTCCTCAGACTGTCTCCTGCATAAACTTACTGGCAGAGGACCGCCCCCCCACCCCAGCTACCCAGTATGCCACTCTATGTTGCTTGTTTCTATCCTTGCATGGCCATAGACATGTGTGCCCCCAGGCAAGGTGAGGGGGGGCACTTCTGCTCTCTCAAAAGAGCAGAAGGGGTAGGGCTGGGGGCAGCCAGCCCTCCCCTTTAGAGCTGCAGTAGAGGGTAGAAGCCCCACCAGGCCCCTTTGAACCATTGGGTTTGGGTGCAATTGCTCCTTTCCCCTCCCCCTGTTGGCGGGCCGGTAGACAAATCCAGGTTGTTTTCCTTTCACCGCGTGTATCTTTTATTCCACATCACTTTTACACACAGAACATCCCATTAGCATCACGTTGCCTGAGCTTCCCCTTCTTGCCTCTTCCTTCTACTTACCTCCTCCCAGTTACATCACTAGCCCAGCAATTACCACCCAGGTGCTCATAAGCTGCCATTAGAAAGAATTTAATTGCTCACAGCTGAGCCTGCAGTTGTCTTCACACTGCAGCCGCCTTAGTGAGTAGGGTGCTGTTGCTAACACTCGGTTGTATATCAAGCTTATCTTGACAAAAGTTGGCGGGTTTTTTTGTTATTGTTGGGTTTTTTTGCTTTTTGTTTTTTGCCTCCACTACTCCACTCGGAAAGATGTCCCAGAGCTTCACTCCTCTGGTGGTCAGAAACCTTTGTCTTACTTTGAGCTTAAACATGTTGGTTTCCCAATTATTTCCATTTGTTCTTGAGCCAACACTGGTTTTAAACATACTGTGGCTGGTATAAATGTCAGTCAAAAGTATCAAATGCAGGTGCCTAAAGTTAGACACCAACATCCGTAATTAGACACCTTAAGAAGTGGTTTGAACTCCAGAGGTGTTGAGCCCTCTGCTCAGGATGGAAAGGGATGTGGGTCTCTACTCAGAGAGAGGTGCTGGCTACAGACCTGAGAGGGCATTCTGTGAGCAGAGCATGGAGGGGGTTAAAGGAGTATATGCCCCAAAATTGCAGTACTGAGGCTCACTGAAGACCTAGGATGGAATTACTCATGTGCTTAAAGTTACGCACGTGTCAAAGAGCTTTCATGGGTTGGGACCTAAACAAATAAAGTAAGGAGGAAATGTAGCCTGCCTGTTCTGTTAATTTTCAGTTTTCCAGCAGCAGTTTGCAGAGAGCTCTGAGGCTTATTTCGAAAGTGCCCAAAGAATGAAATGGAACTGGAGACAGACACAGGAGCAAAAACAAGTCAGCACTTTGGCCAACAGATCCCATCAATGCCACTATTCAACATCACAGGCCGCAGGCTCCGGGACTGGAATATCACAGGTCACAGGCCAATGTAGTGCTTCTTCTTGAAGGAAGAGATGAGAGGGGGGAAGACGGCGGCAAGAATGAAAGATGAGGCCCTGGTGGTAGTGGTGTTTTAGATAAGGTCGCAGGCATATGAAATGAGGACGTTAGGATACATTGACTCAAAGGGAGTCGAAAAATTGACAATGTCACACCAGCAGAGGGGGCAATGCACTCAGGAATTGGATCAATTGAAATTCACTGGCCTTGCTGCAGTTCTGTATCGTGCACAGTCATTTTCTACAGCATCTCAAGCTACAATAGATGTGAGGCCATTACCAGAACAGTAGTTACAGCAGGCCTGAAGTGCAGGTAGAACTTGACAATCACAAGGGAGATCTGGAGCTGAGTCCCTAGGTTTTACCAACTTCTGCTGGCGTGATCCAAGCCTAAGCTGGAAGCCCTATTAAGGGGAGTTGTAACTGCACAAAGTTCCTATAAACTTTCCTACATGGAGGCTCCCGCAGCCAGAAAGTGCTACCCCAAAACTGGATCACGCTAGCCAGGAAGAGGCCACAGCTAAAACTTGCACCTTGCTAAGCTAGCAAGAGAGAATAAACTTTAAGAAGCAACAGCATAAATCAGCCTAGTGCAAGAGACAAAGCAACAGGTACTGGTAAAATAATCTGTGGTGACCATGCAAGGACATTTAGAAGATGGGAAGTGAAGGGGCTGGTGTTAAAGAAGACAGGAAGCTCAGAGATGGAGGCAGAGAAAACTGATCCCATTCCCGCAAGAGCCAACACCACATAGACACAAGAGAATCAGACCCATTGTGAGCAGGACATAGAGAAGAATGAGTTGGGGGTGGACCGACCTGGGATGGTCAGAATGCTGAACCCCTCTCTCCCCGAGCTGCAGTTTGTTTTTAAAAGGCCTCTCAGAAGAGATGGGTTTTACAGTGGAATTTGAACAGAGAGGGGATGGCTCTGGCAAGCAAGGCAAGGCAGAATGTCTTAAGAACATAAGAACGGCCGTACTGGGTCAGACCAAAGGTCCTTCTAGCCCAGTATCCTGTCTGCCGACAGTGGCCAGCACCAGGTGCCCCAGAGAGGGTGGACCGAAGACAATGATCAAGTGATTTGTCTCCTGCCATCTCTCTCCAGCCTCTGACAAACAGAGGCCACGGACACCATTTTGTCCACTGGCTAATAGCCTGTTATGGACCTAACCTCCATGAATTTATCTAGCTTCTCTTTAAACTCTATTATAGTCCTAGCCTTCACAGCCTCCTCTGGCAAGGAGTTCCACAGGTTGACTACACGCTGTGTGAAGAAGAACTTTCTTTTATTAGTTTTAAACCTGCTACCCATTAATTTCATTTGGTGTCCTCTAGTTCTTCTATTTAGGGAACTAATAAATAACTTTTCTTTATTGGCCCTTTCCACACCACTCATAATTTTATAGGCCTCTATCATATCCCCCCTCAGCCTCCTCTTTTCTAAACTGAAAAGTCCCCGTCGCTTTAACCTCTCCTCATATGGGACCCGTTCCAAACCCCTAATCATTTTAGTTGCCCTTTTCTGAACCCTTTCCAAGGCCAAAATATCTTTTTTGAGGTGAGGAGACCACATCTGTACACAGTATTCAAGATGTGGGCGTACCATAGTTTTATACAGGGGCAGTAAGATATTCTGGGTCTTATTTTCTATCCCTTTCCTAATAATTTCTAGCATCCTATTTGCCTTTTTGACCGCTGCTGCACACTGTGTGGAAGTTTTCAGAAAACTGTCAATGATAACTCCAAGATCTCTTTCCTGATTTGTCTTACACATGGCACTCTGTGGACGAGGGCACAGAACAGAGGAACTGTCACACTGGGTTAGACTCATGGGCTATCTAGACTTGCATCCTGTCTAAGACAGAGGCCAGCACTAGATACTTCATAAGAAGATGAAAGAAATCCCACAGAAGAAGGCAGATGTGGAATATCTGCTCCCCTGCAGATGAGGTTTTATATCCAATACAACAGTCTTTAGTTATTTATTAACTATAATAAATCTGGATGATCTTGCTAGCCACATAAGTGTCTAAACCATCTCTGAATCCTACCAAGTTCTTTGTCTCAAAAACATCATATAGCAATGAGTTCCACAGGCTAAGCATGCTTATTGGTACCACTAATCATTCAAGTGCAATCTTTTTCTATCGTAACCATCATGATACTCTGAAGTAGGTTGTTTATGCACAAATACATGACCAATTCACCTACATAAGTGAAAGCACGGGCAATCTACAAAACCGCACCCTTGTGGGACAACTATCTGGGCACAGGTCTCCTGAGGGGGAAGGCAGCTTTAATTTATATTGCCAGAGCTCCTTGGGAGATGCACTGAATGGGAATACGTTCTGAGCAGCCTGGTGCAGCCAGTTTTCTGGGCAA